TCTCGCTCTGTTGCCCAGGCTAGAGTGCCGTGACTTCAGCCTAGCTCACAGCAACCTTAAACTCCTGGGCTCAAGGGATCCTCCTGCCTCAGCTTCCCAAGTAGCTGGGACAACAGGCAAGCACCACCATGTATGGCTAATTTTTTCTATTTTTAGTGGAGACAGGGTCTCACTCTTACTCAGGCTGGTCTCAAACTCCTGAGCTCAAGCGATCCTCCTGCCTTGGCCTCCCAGAATGCTAGGATTATAGGCATGAGCCACCACACCCAGCCAGGCCCGATGGTTTCTAAGATCTTTCTAGATGAGAGAGTCTGTGCATACCTCCACATACCAGTTGATATTTATTAACAACAACTAGTTCTGGGTGCTGGGGGCTTTTAGGCCTCAGAGCATAGCTTCTGTTCTTGATGATCCCCACTCTCATCAAGGGGGTGGGAGAGGGACTGACACATAAATTAGTAATCACGGAACTCAGTGCCTAAGTTGATGATGGTGGTCTGAGTAGAATGTTGTAGGAGCCTCGGGTGAGAGAGAAGCAAAGAGCATTGGGAAGACTTCATATAGTGATATTTGAGCTGAGTCTTAAAGGCTGAGTTAGAGTTCCGCAGCAGAGCACTCTCAGGGTGGGGGAACCGCAAGTACAAAGGTGTGAAGTAAGAAAATAGTGTGATGTGTTTGGGAAAGGCAAGAATAGCTCAGGCGCAGCAGGGTGGTACACCACGAACTTTGGAAGGCACTTTAGAAGGCATTTTGGAAGGCTGAAGGCATTTTGGAAGGCAGAGGCAGGAGGATCCTCAAGCAGGAGTTTGAGACCAGCCTGGGCAACATAGCAAGACTCTGTCTCAAAATGCAAACAAACAAACAAAGAGTAGCTCAGAACACAGGCTATGTGTGTGTGTGTGTGTGTGTGTGTGTGTTTAGAAGAACAGACAGAAGAGGTGGGTTTGATCTTGATATTAAAGGTTCTTGAATGCCTGTCAATTAAACTTTATCTGAGAACCAGTGCTTTATCTGAGGAGCAGCCCTAGGAAAGGAGGTGCCTCAGGGACTCCCAAGGGCTTCAGGGTGAGGGCCCCACTCTGCTTCAGCAGAGCAGCTCCATGTCCGCCCGCTTCATCGATGGGGTTCTGCTCGATTTCATCTGACAAAAAATTTCCATTGCTAAGACAGGCAGACAAATAAAAAAAGTTATGGCCAACAGGGCCACAATAGGATTTTCTGCTGCGGAGAAGCAATACTTGTTTGAAGGAACCCTCTGAAGGAGACTGTGTAGGTGTGAGGGGTGAGGGGCAGAGGCCATGGCTGACTGTGGTAGGAGTGTCTTATTCAGCTTCCCTGGCGAGACTGGGGAATTGTAATTAGGAGGTGGCACATAAACACCTCTCTGGTAGGGGAGGATCTGATCAAAAGTTAGGGATCCCCTCCAGGGCTTGGGGAAGCTTGTGTGACTCTAGGAGGTAGTCCCCCAACAAGTGAGAGCGGCAGAGGGAGAGGGAGGGGGAGAGGCAGGAAGTGGGTAACTACACCAACAAAGGTGGCTGTGGCGGTTTGCCCATCCCAGGTGGGAGGGCGGGGCCTAGGGCTCGGCCTGGGCCTGGGGCCCTGTGTGAATTTACTTGTGGCCTGAGGGCTCAGAAGGAGCGCCAGTCAGGAGCTAGGGTCCCCATTGCAGCTTTACTGTGGCTGGTGAATGGGGGCCTGGGATCTGATAGTCTCAGGTACTTCTGGAAATTCCCAGGGCAAGTCCTAGGATATCTGATGTTGGGGAAACAGATCTTGGGGGAGCCCCTTAAGCCCCCTCTCCATTCCCTCAGGGACCATGGGCTGTGGCTGCAGCTCAAACCCTGAAGATGACTGGATGGAAAACATCGATGTGTGTGAGAACTGCCATTATCCCATAGTCCCGCTGGATGGCAAGGCCACGGTAAGAGGCAAGACAGGGGACTTGGTGAGGGAGTTGGGTGGAGTATGCAACCCAGGAGAAAGAAATGGACCACCACCACAGCCCCTTGAAATAACAGAGTGGCCCTCTCCCCCGGAGTAGGAAAGGAAAAGAGGCCCAGAGAGGGGAAGGGACTGTCCTAAGGTCACACAGCAAGGAGTTAGTAAATTCAGGGATAAGACCCAGCCATGCTGGAGAGGGGGAAAGCAAGGGAGAGGTGGGGTCGGGGCAGCCAGGGTCTGACCCAGTCTTTTGTTCTCTGACCCCCACAGCTGCCCATGGGAAATGGCTGTGAGGTGCGGGACCCACTGGTCACCTACGAGGGCTCCAACCCACCAGCCTCCCCACTGCAAGGTGACCCCAACCAACAGGGCCTGGAAGATAAGGCCTGTGGATCCTTGGTTGTCAGCTTCCACCTCCACCCCACCCACCCTCTACACTATCCTGCCCCTCTTGCCTCCAGTCTTGTACCCGACCCTGAAACTCCAGACCTCCATGCCCGCTGCCTATCCCAGGCCAGTTCTCCCTGACGCCCCCTGTCTTTACAGATAACCTGGTTATTGCTCTGCACAGCTATGAGCCCTCTCATGATGGAGACCTGGGCTTTGAGAAGGGTGAACAGCTTCGCATCCTGGAGCAGTGAGTGCCCCTCGACCCTGCCCTGGCGGAGTCTGGGAGGGAGCAGGGGACCCCAGTATGGCAGCTCCCCTGCGGCCACTGACTGGCTTAGGGTGGGCGTCCTTGGGACAAGATGGGAGGCTCCACAGTGCTGCGCCGGTGGCGGGGAGGCTGGGTAACCCCGGGCTTTGAGGGAGGGTTTGCAGCCGAGTCCGCGGCTGAGCAGGCCAGGCTGACCCGCCTCCGTGGCGCAGGAGCGGCGAGTGGTGGAAGGCGCAGTCCCTGACCACGGGCCAGGAAGGCTTCATCCCCTTCAACTTTGTGGCCAAAGCGAACAGCCTGGAGCCTGAACCGTGAGTGAGGGCCCGTCGTGGGGGTGGTGGGAGCAGATCCAGGGACCACGAGCAGGGGAGTGGCCTGGGGGTGCGGTGAACGCTTGAGGGTGACGGAGGAAGACCGGACCGACAGCCAACGGCTTGGCTTCTGCCTGGGCAGCTGGTTCTTCAAGAACCTGAGCCGCAAGGATGCGGAGCGGCAGCTCCTGGCGCCCGGGAACACGCACGGCTCCTTCCTGATCCGGGAGAGCGAGAGCACCGCGGGTGAGCCGGGGCGGGGGTGAGCCGGGGCGGGGCCGCGGGCCGGGTGTCGCGGGAGAGCCCGAGGGGAGCGCTGCGGGGCGGCCACCCCTCCCCTCCCGTGCGTTCTTTCGTTCGCTCAGACATTCGTGCATTCAGGATCGTTTTCGCTGTCGGTCCGGGACTTCGACCAGAACCAGGGAGAGGTGGTGAAACATTACAAGATCCGGAACCTGGACAAGGGCGGCTTCTACATCTCCCCCCGCATCACCTTTACCAGCCTGCATGAACTGGTCCGCCACTACACCAGTGAGCGCCGGCAGGACCCCTCGCCTGTGCCCTGTCAGCCTGTGTGTCCCCTCAGTCCCTCCCTGGGGTACCCTCCATCCATCTTTCGGTGCACTTCTTCATCTCCCGCTATGGGCGAGGTGTGGTGCTTGACCCTACAGCCCAAGACTTCGGGTGACAGTCCACAACTCCCCTGCTAGTCCATTTCCCCTAGATGGGGACTTGGAGAGGTGGGGGCTGTTGGGGGCACCCAAGGCCTGCCATATTGACACTCTCCCCTCTCCCTTGTCCTCGCAGATACTCCAGACGGGCTGTGCACGCGGTTGAGTCGCCCTTGCCAGACCCAGAAGCCCCAGAAGCCATGGTGGGAGGACGAGTGGGAGGTTCCCAGGGAGACGCTGAAACTGGTGGAGCGGCTGGGGGCTGGCCAGTTCGGGGAGGTGTGGATGGGTGAGTGTGGCCCTCCAGGACTTCAGGGGAAGAGGGGAGGAGGAGGTGTCCACTGAGGTGGTGAGGGTCCCAGGACAGCTGCCTGGCTCTGGGAGCATGGGGCTCCAGCAACTACCCCAATCCTTCCTCCCTCACACCCAGGGTACTACAATGGACACACAAAGGTGGCAGTGAAGAGCCTGAAGCAGGGCAGCATGTCCCCTGATGCCTTCCTGGCCGAGGCCAACCTCATGAAGCAGCTGCAACACCAGCGGCTGGTCCGGCTGTATGCAGTGGTCACCCAGGAGCCCATCTACATCATCACTGAATACATGGAGAATGGTGGGTGCCACTGTGAGCCCACTGCTGGGGGACATTGCTGTCCCCTCTGGCCCTGCAGGAGGGTAGAAATATACCTTTTCCTTTGGCCCAGCACTAAAGGTTTCTTGAGCTTTCCTGGGCCCCTAAAGATTCACCTCCAGGGATGCAAAGAAAGTATGTTGTCTGAGCTTGGCTGGAGACTCAGCCTACGGTGGCAGGCTCTGGAAGAGCATTCACCCCAGTCTTCCCTGACCTGCAGACCTGTTTGCCTTCTTCAATGCCTTACCTTGATCTCAGGATACTTGATTTGAGAAAAATAAGTGGTCCCTAGCCACATTTATTTCCCTCCTTCTCCTGAGCTTTGGGAGGGCAGATCTGCCCCAAAGCCCTCTTTTTCGGTTCTGAGTGAATCCCCACCTCCCTTGGTCTGCTGTTGGACACAGTGAGAGCCCCAGGAAGAGGGATACAAGTTTCTAGGCTCACCTTTGCTCACACTGATTTGCTGTGTGACATAGGCCAAGTGCCTGCTCTGTCTCTGGTGATCAGTTTCCCCAAGTACAACGGCAGAAATCTAAAGGGACTGACCCAGGAATAACACAGAGTATTCGTCAAGGGCTCCCAAGTCTGACTGCCTGGGTCAGAATCCTGGCTTCACAGTTGTATGGCTTTGGGATAATCACATCACTTCACTCTGCTCACTTCATCTGTAGGCTGGTGGTAATAATGCAGTAGTAACTTCTCATAGCGTCTTGTGAGGTTGAAAGACTTAACGCATACAGAGCAGTTAGAACAGTGCCTGCCGAATAGTAACTGCTCAATAAGTTCGTGTGGTTATCTGACTCGGATTCTTTGGCTGTACAAGATCTGCCTCTTTCAGGAAGGAAAACAAGCGGTTAATTGGCTAATGGGTTCTGGAAATGGCAAATAGATTTTATCACGTGCTTCAAGTTTGATAGGTATTTGCTTGAGTTGCTGGGTTGAGGATTCTGAGGTTCATTGGAAGTGAGTGCTAGGAATGATTAGTAACATCTGCCATGTACACAATGGAGGAATGGCAGTTTATGTCCACGTATTTGCTGTGTCTGGTGAGACCTTTATCTTTGGTGACTAATTCAG